TTTATTACTTTCATGTGTTTATAGATCTACTTTAGTTGAACCATTTTTTTAGTCTAAAATTTTATAATTAAATATAAAAATAATTCTCAAGCCATCCTAAGAAATTTTTATATCAAAATTACATCCTACAGTAAAATTTGGTAGTGCAACGTACCTTGATAGTTTAAGGTTACAACCGTATACAAACCGTACCCTAAAAATAGGTGGCATGCCTAGTAAGAACAGATGGGAGGTTATCTATAATTTTCTAAAGGAAAAAAGGTACATATTTCAAGATTTCTACCATTTCTTGGAAGGAAAAGTTTATATAAGGTGTCAACTTTTTTATTACATAAGTAAGGCTCATTTCAAAAGCCCATAAAAAAGGCTATCTTAAAATTGAAAAATCTCAAATTGATAATCTCAACTTCAACATGTAAGGGTTAAAAACAAAAATTTGAAGTATTGAAAATAGTGCTTCTTGTAAAGAGAATTATACTTAAAAAAAAGTATATATAATTCGATATCTTACATCATAGAATTAAGGTGCACCTCAAAATCCATTTGAAAAGACTGCTTTCTCGTTGGAAAACCATCTAATTGATAATCTCAATATCGAGATGTATGAATATGAAAAAAATATTTTAAGTCCAAAAAATAGTACATTTTGCAACACATTATCTGGACAGTCCATTTTCAAGATTTTCATGCATCTATAGATCTGCTTTATTTGAACTATTTTTGGAGTTCAAAATTTTATAATTAGAGGTAAAAATAAATTTCTCGGCCATCCTAAAAATTTTCAACACTAAAATTGAATCTTATGACAAGGTTTGGAGGCGCACCTTACTATGATTATTTAAGGTTGCCACCTTACGCAAACCACACCCATATACTTAACCTATCTAAACTACAAAGCTTAATGAGGAATATCATATCATTTGCAATTTATACCAATGTTATCAAATTCGTTTCGTATCGATCGAAGAGGCCGAAGCCTTTGGATTTTAAGCATAAACCGAAGCGAAGCGAAGACTGGTGTTGCTGCTTCGATCAGATTCAGGTCGCTTTGAGCTACTTTTATCAGATTTGGGGTTATTTCGGGTATACTCTGGGTCTGCTTTGGCAGACAAAGAAATAGCTTTGTAAAATGATTTTTTTTGTAATTTATTTCAGATTTGTATATATTTATATATAAATATTTAATTTATTTATATTAATTTTTTTTTAAAAAAATCTGAAATCCCTCAAATAGGCCGAAGCACTAAATTGCTCCATTTTTCTTACTAAAGTAAATAAGACTCTGAAGCGAATCCGTGATTTATACTCGTATGTCCCATTTTCTCCCAGTCATTTAAGTGACTCATTGATTGGAAATTGCTGAGTCTCATGATCATAGAGATTATATAATACACTTTCCCTTGTCTTATATGCAGGAAAGACGGAGTGAGACGGTGTGATTCGTCACCCCAATAGATTCCTGACAATGTTGCATTAATAGTTCTTCATAACATGCTCCATACTTCTTTACTATGCATTTTGTTAATGTCGTCATAACATGCTCCATATTTCTTTACTCTGCATTTTGTCTTTGTTTTCACCTAATTTCTAAACAAAAGTGATAATGAAAGACAGATTGGGATACATAATCATATGTAATAGGAAATGGCCTTCCCTCCCAAATATAGTATGCTCCCACAGGTTTATGCTCCCTCAAGGTAAAACTCATATTTATGAGTATTTTTTGGAGCTTAAATATTGGTAGATAAATTTATATGTGTTTGAAAAAATAACATTATGAGATTTTGAGCAAATATTGTAGGATTATCTAAAAAAAACAATTTATTTTTTGTATATAAAGGTCACAATCATTATTAGCTCTTAAATTTTAAAATAAGCGGCATTAAGAGTATCATTGGGTAAACACAAAGTTCATAGAAAAAATTCTCAGACTTCGTATCTTACCTCCAAACCATTCAATTTGACATCTAATGAGTTGAAATGATTGTGACTTCCATGTTCAAAAAATAACTAGTCTCTTTGTAGACAATCCCAATATTATTCTAGAAGGTGCTCCATATTTATTTACTATGCATTTTGTTTTTATTTTCACCTAATCTCTAAATAAACATTTTGTTTTTATTTTCACCTAATCTCTAAATAAAAGTAACAATGACAGACATATTTGAATACATAAACATACGTAATAGGAAATGGTCTTCCCTCCTGAATATAGTATGCTTCCACAGGTTTATGCTCCCTCAAGGTTAAAATCATATTTATGAGTATTTTTTGGAGTTTAATATTGGGAGATAAATTTGTATGTGTTTTGAAAAAACAACATTATGAGATTGAGCAAATATTATGGGATTGTCTAAAAAAACCCAATTTTATGGGATTGTCAAAATCATGAAGTTCGAGATATTTTTTTTTGAACTTTGTGTTTATCCAATGGCACTCTTACATCCACTCTTAAATTTTAAAAGATAAACATCCACCCTTAAATTTTAAAAAGGGTGGATGTAAGAGTGCCATTGGATAGACACAAAATCTCAAACTTCATGATTTACCCCGAACTAGATGAGTAGAAATGATTGTGACATCCATGTACAAAAAATAACTGGTATCTTTATAGACAATCCCAAATATTATTCTAGAAAGCAAGCTCCAAGTGATTAGAAACCCATAATCCTCCTTTTTCTTTTCTTTTGAAAATACTAGTGGGTGCCAAATTTTTTTTGGGAGAAAAACACTAGAATATTACTGAAGGGATAAATATACATATGCTATTAAAGACAAACAGAAAAGCAATAGTTATTTCTTGAAGAAATTAGATAAAAATAAGAAATGTATAATAAAACAATTTATCTTTGGTATAAAGAAGCCACAATCACTTTTAGCATTTGATATCAAATCAAGTGTCCAGGGTTGTTTATTTAACGGTGCTCAAAGTCCAATGAAATAAAATCTTGAGCTATGTGGCACTCTAACCTCTTGGATTTCACATTTTTTGGTTAAAAGTGATTGTGACTTTCTCGTACTACAAGTAATTTTATAATATATTCCTAATAACGTACCACCCACATTTATTCGTGTGTTTAATATGGTTAACGTACCACCCGCATCTATTGGTGTGTTTAATATGGTCTTGTGGAACCAAAATGGACATTGATCCTGCGGCTTAAACTTCCACAAAGAGTTTGTTGTGACCTAAACAATTTTTTCATAACCATTTTGATGTGCAGTTTTGAGAAAAATATTAGCACCAGTGCCCCAAAATCCATAAAAATGGATGGTCCAAACTCATTCTTATAATGAATTTTGATTCAAGGCATAATCCAAATCAATTATTTTCTAAAGTATTGATCTTGGTTAACAATTATATGAGAGATCTAGAGTAAATCAAACTCACTAATCATGTGCTTCATGGTGGAACAGAAATAAAGACTTTGGTCCAGCAAGACCAAATATAAGTTGCAGTTTTCAGTTTTCACCCGTGCATCTACTCTGGGGTGCGGTTTTAATAGAACGAGGCACAAAACAATCAAAGTAAAACCTACCTTCAAATAGTGTCGATAAATATGGTTTCAATATTGAAAATCTTTTTGATAGAGTTAAAATGTAGTTTCATCTTTAATTATATATTTTAAAGCTTCAAAAATAGTGTAGATTAAGCCGATCTATGAAAACTTGAAAATTTTGAAAATTTGTAGTCCAAAAATGTGTTACAAGATACATTATTTTCAAAACTTAAAATCCAATTTTTTTTTCATGTTCATGTATCTTGATGTCGAGTTGATCAATTTGAGGATATTTGAACATCAAAAAATGTGTTAATGAAATTTTTGAGGTGAGCTCGAATTTAATTGTTTAGAGTCTCTGCCCTGTATAAACATTCGTTAACTTGCCATATAAGGGCAAAACGCGTTTTCTATGGTCTGGCGCCCTTACGATCCCCAAAAGCCGCAGTTACCATATGAGAATGGGCACACACCTTTTTGTGTCCTTACACGTAAAATATAGGGGACTATAGTGTATAAGTGAGGCAACATCTTGTCTCTATCTATGCCTAAAAGTGGAGACTACCCTATAAACTGGACCGACAGAGTGTATGTATCAGCCCGACCAAACACTTAAGCCAAATGATACTATACGCCTGTGGGAGTATACTGTCAATTTACTCCCTGAGGCAAAACTCCTTTTAGGACTAAAATTGGACATGTAACCTCGTCAACCTATAGATTCATTTAAAACAAAAGTAAATTTTCGAATTGCAACCCATAGATTAACCTAAACAAAAGAACTATTTCAAATTACAACCCATAGATTAACCTAAACAAAAGAAAATTTTCGAATTGCACCCTCTATGCTCTTAAAGAAATAACAATCATTCTTGAATATAATCCGTCCAATTTTAGAAGTGAGATCTAATTATTAGAAATTCAAAATTCAAAATTGGAATTGTTCCTTCCGAGAATAATCATCTGATGATTCTTAGGAGGTTTCCGAAATTTAAGATAATAAAAATGTTCCGAATAATCTTAAATCTTCCTAAGTAGTGATGAAGGGTTTACGTGGGTTTATTTGGGAATAAGAAGAAAAAGGCTTGATATCGCCATATCGATTCCATGAATGAGACCAAGTTTTCAAAAGAATTCATGGCGGTGGCATTTACTGTTTGCTATTTTGGTTTCTCTCTCCCTCCAACAGAAAAAAAGAGTTAAATTTTAATTGATAGACCAGCCTGTCTGCGTTATACTCTCACATGGAAGTCTCAAACATTATTCCCCGCCACGTAAAACCAACGTGGTACTCATAACAATCAATCACTATTTATACACACATCTCTGCACTTCCTTTTCCATGCAGTTCCTATTCTCTCTCCACTGTAACAAGGAGCTTAGAGAGAGAAAGCGATCACTGATTCTTGGTTTGGGGGTTTTTCCCTGTGTAAAAGAAAGAGGTTTAGGGTTTTGGGGATGGTTTTAATGGAGAGGCACAAGCCAGCCATGACCATGGCTTTTATGCAATTTGCTTACGCAGGGATGACACTTATTACAAGGGCCGCTTTGACACATGGGATGAGCGCTCCTGTGTTCATTGTCTACAGACAGGCCATTGCTACTCTATGTTTAGCGCCCTTTGCGTGGGTTTCCAAACGGTAATATCACTAAAAAACTTTTTTTTTTTTTCTTTTTGTTTGAGTAAAATAAAATTTTTCATATTTTTTCTTTGCTGTTTTTTGGCTTTTCTTCCTTTGGTCTCTCTTATAGGAAGTGCTTTTTTGGGTTTTTTTTTTGAGTGAAGTGGAATGATAGGTTTGATGGGGCTACAAACCTATCCCTATAAGTAAAGCCAGACTTTATAACTCATCGAAAATGCAATTGAAACATTAGAAAACCGGATCATCTTGATTTGAACATTATGGTGGTGAAAAAAAAGAACAATTTAAACTCTAAAAATATATTTATTGTAACAAATTATTTAGATCATCAATTTCAACATAAAAATAAGTGTTTATAGATCCGCAAGATTTGTACCAATTTTAAGTTTCAAATTTTATTGTCGGTATCGAAAATTGATTTTAGAGTCATCATGGATATTTTCATTGCAGAAAGTAAGAGGATTTTGGGGAAGGGCTTTCCTTTGTTTTCATAGTTCCTAGGCCTTATAAAAAGCTCATCCTTTTTATTAGGAAAAGTCTTAAATACTGCTATAAGTGAATTGCTACGTTGTTTTGACCCCGTTATGTCTATGACTGTCTTTCCTAAAAACCGTCACAGATCTACGGGAGCCGTGGCGGTCCCCATACAATTTTTGCATTAAAAAAATCTCGTCACGGACATGCTATGTTTGTGACGGTCGTTAATCCACGTCGTTTGAAAAACTCAGACGGTGCCGAGCCTTATGTAGTCTCCTCTTTTTTATTAACATCCGAGAGTTCTTTTTGGGTCTTTCACTTTCTTTAATCTTTTGGGAAAAGTTTATATATGGCTTAGGCTATAAACAATCAAATTAGAGTGTACCTCAAAACATTCATTAGAAGAGGTTGTTATGATGCCTAAATATCATCAAATTGATCATCTCGACATCAAGATACATGGACATGAGAAAAAAATGAATTCCAAGTTTTGGAAATAATGCATCTTGTATGCATTTTTGGACCATCAATTTTTAAGATTTTTAAGTTTTCATAGATCTGTTCGATCTACACTATTTTTGAAGCTTTCAATTTTATAACTAAAGATAAAAATATAATTTAATGCTGTCACAAAACTTTCCAATATTAAATCCATATTTCTCGACATTATTTGAAGGTGGGCTTTAGTTTGATTGATTAGAGCCTCAGCTTTATACGAACCTCATCCTTTTTTTTTTTTTGGACTTTCATTCTAGAATTTGTTTTGTATTTCCTTTTGGAAAAAGTTTATATAAGGATGCTACCTTATAATGTAGAACTACGGATGCCCCTCATTAATCCATCGGAAAAGGTAGTTTTAATGTTGAAAAACCCTTTGATTGATCATCTTGACATCGAGATATATGACAATGAAAAATAAAATGATTTTAAACCTAAAAATAGTGTATTTTACAATATATTATCTACACCGTCCATTTTCAAGATTTTCATATGTTTATAGATCTACTTGATTTTAACCATTTTTGAAATTCAAAATTTTATAATTAGATATAAAAATAGATTTTGAGATAATCCTAAGAACATTTTACATCAAAATTATATAGCATGATAAAATTTAAGGTGCACATTACTTCTACACCTACGGATGCATCTGCATGCAAACTGCACCCTTCCTGTTTTCCTTTTGCATTTTTGGGCTTATTTTTGAAAATTACTTTCTTTTATTTTCTCTTGTCATATATTGGTCTTGTATTGGGTGATTTGATTTGTTTGAGATTACAGGAGGTATGGGGTAAGCTTGGGATTCAAGAGCTTCTGCCAAATTTTCATGGCTGCTTTGATTGGGTGAGTTTCTTTATACAATCGTTTTTTTATTTTAAATTCAAGATTATTTAAACTTTTTTTTTTTTGAGTAAATGAGTTATGTTGTTTTTTTTGTCCCTGATATAGGGTGACGATTAATCAGAATTGCTACTTCCAAGGCCTGTACTATTCCTCATCTGCAACGGCAAGTGCAACGTCCAACCTAATCCCTGCCATCACTTTTGCAATGGCTGCATCTATCGGGTAACAAAATCACAGCCCATATTTCTCAAATATATACTATTTTTGGATTCAAATTTTTAAGGGGTTGAACTGATACGATTTACTCTTGGCTGGCAATGGGCCAGGTGGGGGCCTCTCTTACCAAATTTGGTCCGAGGGCCTCTACCCCAGGCAAGGTTAGCTGTCTGGTCCATGCCAGGGCCAGGTTTGATGGCCTGTCCTTGCCATTTTTTAGCTTCACAGTAAGGATGAAGTTTCTATAACTCTTAGGTTCTGTGAAATCCAAAGCCTCACCATAAATCCTGTGGCCAGTTCTGATTAAACCTGGTTTAACCGGGCGAATAGAATTTGAACCGCCCAATTTTTACTACATTGGTTTGGAAAGCACTTTCAGCCACAAAAATATCATGATGGCTCTAAAATCAATTTCCAACACCTGCAATAAAATTTAAAACTAAAAAAATTGTTTAGATCTTATGGATCTTTGAACACTTTTTTTTAGGGTGAAATGGACGGACTAGATAATTGTGTGCAAATAAGTTACAGTAACTTCTTTGTCTAGGGGTATTTTAGTTAAGGAAAATTGTTTTCATGGAGTCTAGATCACATTTTTACATATGCGGTCCAGAAAGTGTAAAGCATCCATCTTAAAGACGGATGCAAGTAGGTGTTCCATTTAAGAACAATGGAAACTAACCATCCAAATGTTTTCTTATTAGAATTATTATTTTTATTTTTAAAATTTATTTATTTTTTCATATTCATGAAAAATTAATTAAGTCTTAAAATCCATCTAAAAAATAGATTTATTAAGAGACCCACATTTCTACATATGCGGGCTTGGCCGCATAGAAACGAGGTCCTTTAGTTAATTAAGTAAAGGTAAAGTAGAAAATTTTGATAGAAAAAAATTATTTATTAACTATAGTCGAGAATGATATTATCAATTAACATCATCCATAAAGAGCGTTAATTGCTCTTTAACCATCAACAAAATGTCCCTAATTTTTTATAGAAATATTTATTTTATCCCTCTTAATGACGAAAAATATCCTTGCTAAAAGAATTATGTATCACAAAGCAAGGGTAATATATATCTAAAAATGATGAATATATTAAAGAAATGCTCCATGTTTAGTTGTACCCTAACAAAACCTTTAATTAAATGAATTAGAAAAGAAATGCCACCCTAATTTATCGATAAAACAATGTTACTCATAATTCTACTTTCCCCTTACCAGGCCTCTAGCCACAAAATTTGGCCTGAGCCGAACCAGGCCCGATTTTGAACTGGGCCTCTAGGGACCTAGGCCCGGCTTTCCCAACCCTATAAATAGCAACTATAGTGTACTCCAGTGGAACTATATTGTACGCTTACTGCCTTGGATGAAATAACTATTTTGAAGGACTAAGTGTACAATGTGTTCACAATTTTATAAAAATATAGATTCAAATATTGGATGTAAGAACCCTGGCCCAAATGCAAAAAATTCTTAATTTAGGATAATTGGGCATAAAAAACAAAAAAGAGTCTTTAGCCTAAAATATAAAATAGAAGGGACTTTTCTGTATATCAAACAATATAATAGGATTTTTGGGTAAATTTTCCTTTTAAAGATAGGAAAGGTTATTAAAAATGCCTCTAAAAGTTAATCTATTTTAAAATGAGAAAATTTCATTATACACTTCAATTTGGTGTACCATTTTCTAGTAAACCCACATATTGGAAACATATCTAGCAATATTAGTTTTTCAAAAACGTTATCTTCGAACCCCCTAAAATCCATAAATCTTATTTTACGATATTTTTACTTCCCAAATATCCATAAATCTTATTTTACGATATTTTTACATCCCAAATAATTTTCACAATTATAGGCTCTCTTTCTCTGTCTTTTTACTGTCATATTTTCCCTCTCTCTCTCAAAGAACTAGGTTGGGACTATTACTCTGGAGAGAGTGGACCCAATAATGTGGTTTACCTCTTTTTGAAGGTGATCAGATTGGAGAAGGTGAACATTGGAAGCCCTAGGGGCCAAGCTAAGGTTCTTGGAACACTTTGCTGTGTTGGTGGAGCCATGATCATGGCCTTCTACAAAGGCCCCTTGTTATCAGATGCACTACGCCTCGACTTTAAGGCACAGAGCCATGGATTTCACTCTCTCTTTGATCCAGCACTACCAGGAGGTGAGAATTGGACGATGGGTTGTCTTTTTCTCTTCGGAAGCAGTATATGCTGGTCCCTTTGGCTCAATTTACAGGTACTTTTAATGGAATTCCTCATTCCTTTCACCATTTTACGTTGCTGACTCTCTCTCTCCATATGCAGGTTTCAATGGCTCGAAACTACCCCGATCCCATCTCTCAATCGGCGTGGATGTGCTTGTTTGCTACATTTCAATCAGCCATTCTAACTTTGTTAGTATCGGGACCAGACCCAAATGTTTGGAAACTGAGATTAGACTTCGAGCTGCTTAGCTGTTTTTACTCGGTAAGGAGTTTTTAAGTAACGATCTACATAGGTGGGGATTAGCGCTGAGAATGGGTCAGATCGGTCTGGATCCATTTGGATCTAACTTCGGATTCGAAAAGTACACATGAGAGCCCAGTCTGAATCTGAAACTGGATTAGAAAAATGGATGTGGGATCCGGATTTAGATCCGGGTCCAATCGAACCCAGAATATTCATATTTGGATCTGGATCTGAAAAAATATACCTGGGATTCGGATCTTGATCCAGACCTTATCAGATCCAAAAAATTATTTTATATATTATTTTCTATCTATAAAATAATATCTAACAAAAAAAATACTATATAATACATATGTATAAATATAAGTTAATATATAATATTTTAATAGCCGGGTCAAATTTGGATCAGATCAACTTCTCGGATTCAATCCAAATTATTATTCAGATCCAAATTTTAGATCTGGATTTGACCCATCGGATCCAAATGTTGGATCCATACCCTGTTCAAGATAAAGTCCGAAATTTAAGTTTCAGAACCAAACTGGGTAAATTCTCATCCCGAATGGGGAGAATACAAGTGGTAAAATTGGGCAGGTCAACCTCGAACATGAGTGTAACAATGTTAGACACGGGTCTTACCCCGATTCTTGTCAGGTCCAAGTCAATTGGACCTGATACTTGAATCGTCGTGATTAGCAAAAAAAGAAAAAAAGAAAAAGAAAAGAAAGAACTAATCATTAGTTCAATATCATGTAAGATTTCTTTCCATATTCTATATTACATATAACATATTAAAGAAGCTCATGCCAGTCATGGATTTGAACTTTGAACTTTGAACATTGAATGTGGTGGTATGGCCTCAACTGGCCTAGCGAAAAACCCCAAAACAGAGTAGATAATATGCAGATTAGAGAGATGGAATCCTAATCTTATTGGATTTTTTATGATGCGATGAAAAAATATCTATGGTTCTTTTATAAACACTCTTAATAATAGAAAGGAAATAACTTGAGGGCATCTAAGTGACAAAAGTTGAGAATAATGTACTGCACCCTTCCTCCTATATTGAGTGAAAACTCCTCTTGACCATCATGTCTTTCCTGTTTTAATGATGAAGATAATATTTCATACTAATATAAGAGAAGAACAAATGATATTTTGTCTTAATTTTATTCTCCTACGGAATTAGATAAGTTTTCTTTTTTGAAAAATTTATCAAAATACCTATAAGAGATGAACTATTAATGTTTTACACGTATAGTTTGATTTAATTTAAAAAATAAATGATCACGAATTGGAATATTGACAAATGAGTAAAATATTAAATAGTACATCTCTCATAGGTATTTTGATAAATTTCCTTTTTTTTCCATTGAAGACAAATCACAGGAGGCTGAATCTTGTTTATATTGACAGGGGATCGTAGGATCAGGATTGTCCTTTCTCATCCAAGCATGGTGCATCTCGGAAAGAGGTCCAGTCTATACTGCCATGTTCAACCCATTGTGCACAGTAATTGTCACAATCATGGCTTGTTTATTTCTTCATGAGCAGCTCTATCTAGGAAGGTAAGCCTTTGTACTCTTTCATTGTTATAGAATGTGTCAATCTTATAAATAACAGAAAAGCATACCTCAAAAAACCCATCAGATAAAGTTATTCTAACATCGGAGAACCCTTCAATTGATTATCTGGACATAGAGATCTTTAGATAAAGAAAAAGGGATCTTTTTTAGTCTGAAAAATTATGCCTTTTATAACGCATGATTCCGACCATCCATTTTCAAATTTTTCGAATGTTTATAGATCAGCACGGTCAGCACTACTTTTGGAGCTTTAAATTTAATAATCAGGGGTAGAAGTAGTTTTGAAGACCATCTTAGGTGTTTCTAACACTGAAACTGCATTGTTTTTGAAAATTTTCAAAAATGATGAGAAAATGTAAAAATAAGTATTAATGGCCAAAACATTATATAATATTTGCTAAAATGATAAAAAAATATTAAAAATATATTACAAACAAAATTCTTTATTTTTTCGGATTTTATATAATTTTTTTAAAAATACCCATCCAGTTGACCGAAACCAGCTGAAACCAGAACCGATCAGTGGCTGGTTCCGATCTAACCAAGCTAACCGAATGGTTAGAATTTGAACTGCCCGATTTTTACTACATTGGTTTAAGATTGTAGCCTTATGTAGACCTCACTTGTTACCCATAACTTTGTTTACTTACTTATGACTTGGAAGTTTAATAGTGTGAAATGTTTTTGTAGTATGGGTGGTGCAATCTTGGTGGTGTGTGGCCTATATGCTGTGCTTTGGGGAAAGTCCAAAGATTTGGACTCCAACAAAGAGGAGAGGTTAAGAAGCGAACGTTTGAATACAAGAATATCAGGAGAGTTGGAGGAACCATTGTTAGATAAGACATCACATAACCCTAAAGTAGCTGAGGTCTGATGCAGCATGAGAGTTTTTTGTGTGCATGATTTTTTGTCCCTTCCCCACATTATGATTGTGCGGATGTGAGAACCCAATGAGAAATTCAAACAAGACAGTGTAGTGAGATTTTTGTGGTCTTTAGAGCCCGCTTTCAAAAGATCATATGCTTTGTGGAAAAGTGATGTTTTGCTGTGATACCATGTTGGAAAAACTATAATAAATGTGTGGCAGAATGACATAATCGCGCTCTAATACCACACTGGAAAATGCACTGCTGGATCGGTCTCCTATTGATTTTGAGAGGAAATGTGGTTTGGGTGTTTAAGTTATCAGAAATCGAAAATAATGTTGTTTTATAGTTCTTTTTTGTTTATCTTTTGTTTAGGATGGGAATAAGAATGTGACATCCTGAAAATCTGTCACAAATTAGCCTAAGCTACAAAAAAGAGGATCAAGCAAGCAATCAACAAAGAAAACAAGAAGCAATTAAGAAGAAAATAAATGTGTGTTTTTTCTAACCTTATTTATTTTATTTTTTAAATTTTATTTAATCGTTGTTTGATTTCTCCCTCTCTATGTCTTATGTATATTAGTTAACCTTACAGAAATGGACGCATGTCTCTATTATAACATGGATTATGAGTATTAGAAATGTGAACCCAATAAAGGGCCGTTGGATACGACATGTTGGTACAATAAATGGGTATCTACTTAAATACCCATGTCTATAAATACATTTATTGAAAATTTTGTGTGGTTTACATCTGCATTTCCATATTCAACAATTTATATATCATAACAATAGTAAAGCATCACAAAAAAATTAAATTAAATTAGTAAAGCATCACAAAAAAATTAAATTAAATTAAATTAAGGGGAATGATCATATATATTTTAGATATACCGTCATAGAGTGTATTTTAATTTTAGACCATTCATTCTAATGAATCAAAAATCTTATAACCATTATCCTGGCCAGCTGTCAATGGTTTTTAAGTGTAAATTTCTTGACGTTTTTGCCCTCTCTCTCTCTCTATGTTCAAACATTTCTCCCCTTTATCTCTCTACCAGTTTCGCCCCTCCTCTTGCTTGCTGCCATTGTCCACAACAGTGGCAATCAACTGAAATCAATAGGCTGACCTAATGCATGCTTTCTCTGTTTTTATTTCACAACGAGCAAATATATTGTAGTGTATTTCTCAAATCTAGGCCACTCCAAATAGGCATTAATACAAATCACACATGTGGGTATTTTATTTGATTTTTCTCTTTTATTTTGAGCCATTGGATGACATCTAATCAATGGTTGTAGTGTTGTAGGAGCTTTACTCTTTTAAAAAGATTAAAACCCTTTATTTAGTGAGAAAAATAGTGAGAAAAAGATAGAGAGATTGGGCTTTAATTGGGTTTTCTCTTGAGGGCTGTTGTATGCTCTGTTTTAAAGATAAAAAGTGAGCAAAAGCTTCAACCCATTGTGGGTTTGTTGTTTGCCTTGTTCTAATAAGAGAAAATGTCAAAGAGAACCCATTTTTAAGTGTTCTTGGTTTTTGGGCTCTATTTAGAGTAAGAAAGGGTTGCTGTAAATTGATGTTTTGAGCTTGATTTCATCTTGTAATCTTCCCAAATTAGTAACTAAAGTCTTGTGCAATTCTCCTGTGGATGTAGGTCACGATTTGTGACCGAATCATGTTAAATTGTTGTACTATGTGAAAGCATGTTGCTGGATTTTTCATTCCATGTTCTTGTTTTGATATTGTGTAGTTTTCATTGTTTGTTTATATTGATATGATTGCACAATAGCTGTGAATGTTATAAATCCTTGTTGATTTTTCACCAATCGACCCCAATAATAGGTTTGAGAATTTACTCGATTCAGATTCAAAACCCAAATTTCGGATGCTTAGTATGGATCCAGGATTTGGATATGGCGGGTCGGATTCAGACCAAAATTTGGATCAGAATAGTAATTTGCATCGAATCTAGGATATAGGTGAATGCGATCAGGATCCAACCCAGTTATTAAAATATTATATATTATTTTACATATATACATATATTTCATATAATATTCTTTATTTATATATTATTTTATAGATATAAAATAATTTTTAGAAGTCATAAGGTCTGGATTTGGATCCCATGTATAAATTTTTAATCTGAATCTAGATTTGAATATTTAGAATCCAATTGGATCTGGAGCTAGATCCAAATCCCATCATAACCCAACTATTCTCGGCCCTAACTCCAAAGTCATCTGAGCATGTATCTTTTGCAAGCTCATATCTCTACCTCTTGTGCCCCTTTCTAAAAAAAAATTTATATTTAGATGATGCTTAGAGCTTAAAGGTAAATGTCACTTTTTTTTTTTTTTTCATTTCCTGTCATTCATCAAGAGATCTTTAAAACTTCACCCATGATCACAAACCTTTATGGTACAAAGAAGGTACTTATGGAAAAATGAAAAGCTTTATAAAGAGATCTCCTTCCTTCAACTCTCCTATGATTTTTGGAATATGCAACTTTATATACCTTAAAACCCTAAAATTTGATTTAACTTTTGCTATTTTGGAATATGCAACTTTATATACCTTAAAACCCTAAAATTTGATTTAACTTTTGCTATTGAGAGAAACCCCATTTCCTTGATTAAAATAAAAAACCCAATTTTTTAGAAAAAAAAGTCCCTAATTTAAAATACTGTCATTGACATGGTTAAGAACAGTGTTTTAATTGTCAGGGTGCCCAAATGTGCATCGAATCGCCGGCGAACGACCGCCTGAAAGGAGGTCTTTTGCAGGGTCAATCTTATACATTCTCTCTCTATAGACTAAAGCACTATTCAAGCCCGGATTACTTTAAATTAATATTTAAAGCTATGGACTTTATCACATATTAAGCCACCAGATACTTTCTCTTCGGTCTCTCACAGTAATCTATAGACTTATACGTAGTTTGTTATTTTTCCGTACTGTATACAATGAGACCACTTACTTTTGAATACGGTTTGTATAGTCTAGGCTCTAAACAATTAAATTTGAACCTACCTTTAAACACTGCTGAGAAATGTGGTTTCAATACTGAAAATCTTTGTGATAGCCTTAAAATATATATTCATCTTTATTTATAAACTTTAAAGCTTCAAAAATAGTATAGATCGACAAATCTATCAAATCTTGAAAATCTTGAAACTTGACGGTCAAAAAATGTGTTACAAAGTATACTATTTCCAAAACCAAAACTTTAAATCCATTTTTTTCTCATGTCCATGCATCCTGATGTTAAGATGATCAATTTGAGGATATTTGGCTATCAAAACAACCTATTCTAGTAAAATTTTTGAGATAAGCTCTAATTTGATTGTTTAGAGCTTCAGCTCTATATAAACGTTTCCCTTTACTTTTTGGTAGAGGTCACACTTATTTATAACGATGGGATGAGTGAAATTTGATAGAATGGGTGAAATTTTGTTTTTTTAACTTTGAGCTTGGTCAATGAAATAAATGTTGCTACCCAATTTTACATCCAATGGCCAAGATTTATTGTGACCACCTTGTACCAAAAGTAAATGGTCTCATTATATACTTTCTCTATTTTTATATAGCCAATATTTAAAGCTACTCTTTTTATACAATTTATTTATATGCAGTAAACTTGGCCATATTTTCTTCATACCATTGTTTAAATATAGATAATATAAACCATAGTTGTTTTATGTTATAATTAATTTTAAAAATTTACACCGTCGTTTCAAATTAGCTAATTTTTAATTATTCCACACTTTAGCTTATTTACAATATATGGCTTTAATTTTATGCCATATAGCTAATTTTAAAGCTATATAAATATTTTAAAGTTTGTATGGTGTAAAGAAAAGTTTTCCAACAAAAGAAATTAAGCAACGTGACATTTGTCTCTTTTTCTTTTTTAACATTCAAAAGAAATTAATACAATACATAGGAAATAAGAACTTTAAAATATTCAATGATCAACAAACATCCAACATTGAAACAACATCTCAATATTAACATATTTTGTAAAATAATGAAAAGCACATAATGCATCAACCCCAAAAAAAATTTTAACAAAAAATTATGTTTAGGGGATTTTAGTAATTTTTTTTAAAATTTTTGAGATCAAAACTGACCGATCCAGTCAATTCTCCGATCTGAATCACTGATTCGACCCTTTTTTTTTAAGCCTTGGTTGAGATTATTAAACTCTAAAATTTTGGATCGAAAAATTCATCTTTGAGATATATTTTGTAAGGAGATCACTCAAGAATAAAGTGACTCGGCTGATTCACAAACGCTTTTCCTCATACATTTATATACCTTATTTGAAAATTAACGTTCAATTGTATCCATATTTATTAATTATTGGAATTTGAATAGCGCAATAGATTTGATGCTCCCAAGAGCGCGTAATATCTATTAACTCCCTTGGGTAAAACCTAGTATAGCACTATTGTACAATATACTGCCTGAGGGAGTAAGCGTACAGTATACAACGGTGGGAGCAGAGCATGCACGCTATTTGGATAATTGCATGAACATAAATATGGTTGCAGTTGGTAGCTGTAGAGGTAAGGTGCACCTTCAAATTTTATCATGCACCTTCAAATTTTGATGTAAAAAGTTCTTAGGATTACCTCAAATTTTGATGTAAAAAGTTCTTAGGATTATCTCAAAATTTATTTTTATATCTAATTATAAAATTTTAAATTTAAAAAATGGTTAAAATGAAATAGATCTATAAACATATGAATATCTTGAAAGTGGACCGCGCAGATAATATGTTATAAAATGCACTATATTTTAAACTTAAAATTTTTTTATTTTCCATGGTTATACATATCAAGCAAAAGATTTTTCAACATTAAAACTACCTTTTTCAGTGGATTTTTGAGGTGCATCTGTAGTTCTACATTATAAGGTTGCATCCTAATATAAACGTTTTCCCATAAATATATCCAAGAATTTGGAGTGATCAAATATGCCCAAAAGAGCACTACAAACCGGTCCAGGGCCATGTAGAGAGAGAGAGAGAGCACATAGGAAGAACAACGTAATTAATATTTATTGCACTTTTTTTTTTCTGATACAACGCTTGGGGTACCTTCTTAAGCACAGGGAAGTCTAGCAAAAAAAGAGGAGAAAAAAAAGGGAAATGGTAATATGGCTTGGCCCTTTTGACAATAATGGAAATGGACAAATAAAGTTATGATATCAGGGTAAAAATAACAAGAAATGGAGAAATAAAATAAATAAA